GTCTGTATGCACGTTGTATTTCTGTGCACGACTTCTGCTGCTGCCCAGCAGCTCCAGGGGCTCTGTCTTGCCTAGATCTGGCTGCACATGTAGTCATAGCTTTGTCATGCTGTTTTCAAACAAATCAAACAGTGATGCTGTTATGTGTAAAGAGAGATTTCCTTGAAAACCATTTGCAAATGCTGTTCTTTCCCTGAGATCTGTTACTTTCTATTTCATCCTCACCAAATAAAAAAGGAAGAAACAATTCCACAGGAAGCATTTCTCTTTTACTGTTTATTAATGTTTTATTTACCTTTTTCCTGTGTGTAAGGGATGAATTGCTTGACACAGTGACAGACAATGCAGGGTCCAGATGCTGCCAGCAGCTTCTAGTTCAGATTTTGGGGTCTCAGGTGTTCTGAACAGTACCTTCCTTTTTTTCGAAACAGTTCACTGATGATAGTATTTTCCAAAATGGAACTTTTTGGTTCCCTTTGGAAAAGTTTCTTTTTCATTAAAGTTCCCTCCTCTGTCCAGCTGCCCTCTCCCTGTCTCTCTGCCTGTGTTTGGGATGCAGGGCTGCAGGACGCCCAAATCCTTTTATCACAAGGCTGGTCAAGGCTATTAGAGAAGCTTTCTGCCCATTCCTTCTAGATACTGGGACTGCTGCCTCCTTAGTGTTCCTGAAACTGCAGCGAGAGGAGAAACGTGGTGCACCAGGTAGATGTTGTGAGGTATCTCAAAGAGGTGGCACGAGTTTCTTGTCTCATCAGGCAAACCAATGAGCTGCCTTTGCAGTCATCACTGACCCTTCCTTATCCATGTGCTGCCACACTGCTGCCCTCGCTTTCCTTGCAGAAGTGGGACAGTGGAATGCAGCTGGCAGATGGGGAAGTGCTGCCGTCAGGTCTGCAGCCCACCAAGGAGGAGATGGAGCTCGCACTGTGACTGCCATGCTCTGCTGTGTTCTCACTCTGTGCCTGCGTACATCTCAGAGTAACAAACCTGTCAATAAGGCAGGATGGCACGACAGGGGATGAGCAGCTGTTTCCTGCTGCAGTCAGCAGAGACATCTTGGTGGGGCTGGCTCTATTAGATCTACCTGTGCCGAGACTAGGAATGGGCTGGCTTGCTGTCCAATGTGCACCAAAAGCCAAAATAAACACATGGTGCTTACACAGAAGCTGCTATTTTCCCTCAGAAGTCTCTCTCTGCAGCACAGTTATTGCTGTTGCATGTTGGGCTGTTAACTCCTACAGGAAAACTTTCCAAGCCTGCTCTTCAGTGACTGCTTTATTAATTCTGTTTGCTTGTCCTGGGACTTTCAACTGGTTGTTAGTTTCACTGAGACAAACTGGGTAAGAAATGGCAGACTTTTGGCATACGTAGCACATTTTCCCACTTGGTTTCTTTCCAGGTTGAGCACTACATCTGAAATACGTGTTTTGTTCCGTAGGGTTGTGCTTTGGTACCTCTTGTCTTCTTTCGTGCCTTTATTTTTTAGCGTCCCCATCCACTTTGTTTGGATGAGAGCAAGTAGACCAATGGCCAGTCACTGTCAGAGCAGGAGGCAGAGTTGTCATTACCCTCCGTTCTGTGGAACACTCATGGACGAAGATAGGAGTGCAGGAGAGCTATCAACATCTCTGGCAGCTGTTATGGATAGAACAGCACAAGCCGGATCTTCTTCGTGCTGCATGGTGACAGTGCAGTCAGCAGCCCTGTGGAACCTTTGTCCTGGGAGAATCATAGCCATTGAGGTTGGAAAGGACAGAACTTAGCTGGATATGGCTTGTTTCAAAGCTAGCTCTGCTTTGAGCATGAATTTGGAGCAAGTAACCCGTAAGGGTCCCTTCTGGTGTATATTCCTCTATGGTTACACAGCATCCCTTCAATAAACAACAAAAAAGGATGTCAAACATGCAACTTATTTCCTGTTTTATCTACCAAGATCCTAAACTGATTGAGATTGACTGCAGATCTTCCCTTAGACTTGGATGACGTTTAAGGAAGAATGTGGTACCCACTGCACTGATGTCCTCCCACACATCTTGCTTCCTTTGGACAGCATCGTTTGCACTTCTGCTGTTCAGCCCCCTCCTTTTCCCTTTCAGTGAAGGATGGTTTGCAGCACCCCAGTGCTCCATGGAGCTCCTGAGAGTAGAATGGCACTGGTAGGAGGTCTGGAGTGATGAGTCCTGTGATGTGGACTGAACCCAGCACCCTTTGTGCAGAGGGGCACGCAGTCTTCCCAACCCCTTTGCAGGGACAGTTCTTTTAAGTCGTGGCATCTTTTTCTTCAAATACTTCTTGTGATTTTTGAATTCAGAGTTTTCATTTCCTCTGCACATCACTTTGGAAACGCAGCGGGACTTTACCTTAAAACAAAGAGGCTGGTAAAAACGAGCTGGCAGTTCCTAGAGGAGACATAATGGACAAGTGAGCTCACCTGCACCACCACCACCAAGCTGCATGGCTCAGCCCCATGGCTGCACCACCAGTGCTGGGCTGCACAGCTCAGTCCCACAGCTTGCCCAGAGGCACTGTATTCTGCCCCAGTGCTGGTATCCTGGGATGGAGCACCTCTCCCAGGACCCATTGCTGCAGTGTCACTCTGAATTGTTCATTCCTCCCAAACCTTCCACCCAAACCTCCACCTCTAAGTGTAGCAGCAGGGAGCATCCTGGTGGCATGCTGTCAGACCTGCACTGAGAGGAGGTGTGCACTGTTCAGCATGAAGGACTGCCTCTTCCATCTCCACAGTGCAGACAGGCATGTGTGCGAGTGTGTGTGAACCCTTGGGTGAATGATTCTGTGATTCCTTGTGTTTTTTTGTTTTTTTTTTTAGTTTTTTTTTTTTTTACATAGAGCTTGGGCTGGTTGGCAGTGCAGTTGGAAAGTAATGCTGATGGGCCTGGAACACCTGGTGGAACCCATGAGGCATTCATGCAGCATTCATTCATCCAGTTTAGCTCACCTACAGCCACAGCAATTGCCTCCCTGATGATAGCAGGGCCTGAGCCTTTCTCTCCCATCCCTCCTTTCCCTCCACCACTCACTTGTTTCTCTCTCTCATTTACTATTCCCTCTCTGCCCCTCAACCCCCCCCTACCCTCAGCCTCTTTTTGCAGGGCTGATGGATATGCAGAGTATGTTAAGAAGCACACGGTACTGTCACCAAGCTGATGGTGCTCAGTGACTCCTCCAGCTCCTGGCTGGTGTGTGCTGCAGGAGCCTGACACCCTGACCACTGAGGCATAAAAAACAGAGAATTGGAAGCCTCAGCCTGACAGGCACCAGCACATCCCCAGAGAGGGTCCTTATGTGTGCGCGAGAAGGAAAGGGGGTAGCAGAGGTTCTGAGGGGAGGAGAGCGAGGCAGGAGAGAATGGAACAATGAGATGTCAGCCTGCTTCCATCTGCAGCACGGCTGCGTGTTCGGAGGCGTTGCTGCCTCCAAAGCAGCACGCGTGGTGTAGGGTGGGAGGGAGTGCTGTGACCCATTGAAACGCCTGGGGCACACAGCGCTGTGCTGGCAGGGATGTGCAGTTCTGTCTCTGGTGGGCGCAGGTCATGCAGGGTGCAGGTCTGGATGTGAGTGTCACGGGGAGCCTCCGCTGTTTGCTGGTGAGCAGGGGAGCGGGCACGCTCTTCTGCACGCTCTTCTGCACCTCTGCTTCTTGTGCAAGGGCTGCGCAGCAGGGAGCAGGCACTGTCCTCTCCACCTCGCTCCTATGCATGTACGCTGCACGGCCTCCATCAAGCACAGATGCTGCTTCATGCCAGCAGCAGACAAATGGTGCTCTCCCAGCAGCGCACGGCTCAGGAGGTTTGTGATACCCGAACCATCAACACAGCATTAATGCCTCTCTCCTGGGGTCTGCAAATGAGCTTCTTGGCAGAGTGAGAGGCTGCTCTCTGGGCTGGGATGAGGCGGTGGCTCCAGGTCAGGTGGGTGGCTATGCCAGGTGGTGGCAAGTGGTGCTCTGGGGTGCTGACCCAGCAGAGATGCAGCTGGAGACGTGTGTTGTAGGTCTGCCCCTTGGCTGAGGCAGGAGATTTCCCCAGTATGAGATGTGAGCCATTCTGTGTCCGAGGACTTGAATACATGAAGGGTGCAGCCAGCATCTTCTCTCTTCAGCCTGGCAGCTTTCTCTGCAACCTTGCCTTGTTCTTTCTTCATGGCACTGTTTAGCGTGTATATGTTTGTGAACCTGGAAGGAAAAGAGATGTGGAAGAAAGATAGGAGAACGGAGAAACTGTCATTCATGGGAGATGCTCTAATGAAACAACAGTGACATTTCTGTTTGCTTAGCAGTGGAACCAGGTACCCTACCCAAGGTCAGAGCTGTGCTATGCATGGTGCTGCCCTGGAGAGACTGCAGCTCAGGTATGAAACAGGAGATGACATGTGAAGAGAAAAAAAAGATGGAGAAAGCAGTCTGTGAGGAGACACTTTGAGTCTTCACTCTGCCTTTGTCTGGAGGGTTTCAAAAACTCCTGAAACTGATGCAAGCATCCCTCTTTCTTTGTTAAAGCGACTGATGGAAGTATGGGTCCAGGGCCATGTTCTGCTGGAGAGCCTAGAATGGTGTTCACTACCTAGGAGATCAGCTGTTTTATCTTCTGCCGACAGGGAAACTGGCTGAGCAGCTCTGTCCCAGCATTTCTTGCCCTGAGTGTTGCAGGGATGTGGAGGCAATGGCCAGGGCTTCTAGGTTGGTCTCAGATTCCTCTTCTCAACTCCTGCAAGCCATCTTGTTCCTGCAGCACAAGCTGCACGAGGAAATCCCACTAACTCAGAAGGTGTGAGCTGGATTGCAAAAGGACACACAGAAGATGACTGTATTCATTTAACAATTGGCCATCCAGACGGCCCTTCTACAGACAGGGTGGTTGGCAGTGCTGTTGTGAAAGCTTTCACTGGAATACAACAGATGCTGAACTTGTGTGCTTTTCCCCACACGAGTGACTGTAAATGACCTTTATTTTGTCTTTTTCTGTTTCCCTTTAATTTAGGGAGCGAGTTTTCTGGGAGCCCATACAGCCACCCACAGTACTCAACTTACAACGACTCCTGGAGGTTTCCCAATCCTGGACTTCTGGGTAAGTTGCTGCCCCCACTTTGGGGCCGTGCTCCAAGCTGTACTCATTTATAAGCCAGTGGCAATTATCAATCACCAGGATAAGCAGGATGCGTGGCCTGGAGCTGTCTTGTGTCCCAGTGCTCTTCACTGATGAGTGGCTGCAGATCCCCATTGGGTACAGCAGACCTCCTAGTTCCCTTCACCAGCAGGAAGCCAGATGCTGAATGCCCCTATCTTCCCATTTCTGCCTCATAAAATCATTTGGCAGACAAAAGGCATTGCTGGAAGCCCACTTCTTGAAGTGGAGGAATCCTGTACCTACAAAACTGGTGTCGTTTTATTGGGGGTGCCTTCTTCAGGGAGATGCTGTGTCTTGTCGTTGAATGTTAGCCCTGCTATCCTTAGTGGTGTTGTCTCCTTGCTGGTTCCAGCCATTTGCATTTCTTCCAGACCTCACGTTACGTGGGTTTGCAGTGCCTGTTGTGCTCATGCAGTGTCTCAGATGTCTGCATGGGCTCTCACAAACAGTAGGGAGCAGGAGCCTCACGGCTCACGCAGGATCATGGCCCTCGTGTGAAGCATAAACACAATCCATTTTACACCACTGTCAAAAGATGGCCCACTTTGACCTTGTACACATGTAGAATGCAGTAATTAGAATTTTTCCCTGCATAATTTGCATGGATGAGGTAAGTAAAATACCAATTAATTGTCATCTTTCAACAGAGGAATAGCGTGCCTTGGAGATTTCCAGATTTATGGATGACAGGGCTGTTGTATGTGACCTCCAGCAGAGAAATAATTTTGAATTTTTGTCTTTTTTTTCCCCTCCCCATCCACTTTCTTTGTTTTAAGTAATTGAGTCCCCATGTAATTGAGCCACCCAGGCTGTATTCATCATGGTTCTTGTCCTTAAACAAATCCTTCGGGAGCAATAGACAGCCTCTGCCTCTCATGCCATGGTGCTGGTAAGCTACTGCTATTTTCCGTGCCACATTTAAGGGTTTGTTAGTGCTTCCATCATAAATCAGAGAACAGATCTTCAGCTAATATCGATGGGCATAGCTGTACAAAGCCAGAGGAGCCCTGGTGCTTAAACCTGCAGTTGCCATGGCCGCAGCCAGGACTGCCTGCAAGAGTTTGGTTGGGCTGTGTGGAAGAAGATGCTTTAGCCAGTCTGAAGAGTGCACACAGTGATTTCTTAGTTGCTGTTTTTGTACCTCCTTTGGAATCAAATGAGATATTTTAAACTCCTGCTGCTGAAGGGAAGGCAAAGCAAGCTCTGAAGCACCTGAAGACAGGCCTCAGAAGACAGGCTTTGCATGTTTCTCTCATTTCCCCTGCAAATCTGTGAAGAAACCAGTGGGATATTACGAATAAATGCAAACCCAACCTGACGCCCATCCTCCTGCATAACAAGAGTGGCTTCTGGCAAGGCTGGGTTGCAAACTCATGCCTGCAGACTTCCACTGGTCTTGGAAAGGACTTGCTTTGGTGTCCTTGTTTCATTTCTGGATGATAATTTCTGGGGGCAAATTCTTTCTCTTTGACTCTGTAGGCAGAACACGGTTTGTGTACAGCTGCAACAAATGCATTCTGCCCATGGCAGAGGGAGTGGACTGTAAGGCTCAGTACGCAGAGCTGTGAGAGTTGGTGCCACGCAGCATGGAACGTCCCTTCCATCAGTTTAGATCAGTGTCACAGCAACGTCCCCTCCTCACCTCTTGCCTGCTTCCAATCTGCTGGCTTTGGGGGCTTGGAGAGAGTCCTGGTGCTGTGCCAGCAGTGCTCAGTGAGAGACAAGGCATTGCTGGGGTCCCAGTGCTATGCCAGCACAGAGCACAGCCTCACAGGGGCAGCCTAGGGAAGGTGAGCTCCATCCTGGCCATGTCCATTGCGTTGGAACAACCAGCAAATCTCCTGAGCCTTGCAGGGAGCCCAGCCATACGCAGCTCTGCCTGGATCCCTGTAGTCTTGGACACTCCACACATGGCCAGGTCTCAGTTGCTCGCTGGTAACCCTGGACAAGGAGGAGCCTTGTTGCACAGACGTGTTGCAGACCTCGCTGCAGAGCCTCGGGTGCCTGCTGTACCCCTCCATGCACAGCCACAAGACTCATGAGATGTGCCTGGGCACCTGCACTGGAGAGGAGGTTAATGTAAGCTGTATCCACGCTGCTTCCACACTTCTCAGTATACGTGAGTACATTTAATAATTCTCTCTGGAGAGCAAGCTCTGGCAGTATCAACATCAAAGCAGAAACCTTGACAAAATTAATCTGTAGTAGTACACAGACTGACACAGTTTGTTTTACTAAGTCCCCTCCCTTCACCAAGATGAAATTGTAATACTCCAAGCACTCAGCAGTGCCTGTGTTTAATTAACTCCCTGTTCTGACCAGGAAGAATTGCTCTGCGGCAATCACACCAAGCTCAGATCTGTGAAAGAGGAATTTAGAAGAGAGATGCAATGATTTACAAGTGAAAGAAAGAGCATTTGGGCTGAAAAATGATTTGGAGGAAAGGAAAAAGAATAGGAACAAAGAGAGCTGAGGATGGTGTGGCAGTTTCAGTGCTTAGTCCCTGGTCTTTCTCCTGTGAGTTTGGAGCAGCAGTGAGAGGTAAGCCAGTTTTTCCACCCCTAGGCCATGCTTGGGAAAGATGTGCGGATGGAGCAGAGCTGTGTGATTCCGCAAGGAAAGCAGCTTCATGCTGTCAGTGCTGGGCCTTCACTGTGCCTGCTGCTCCTTTTGCATCTGCAGCCCACTCACATCTGCTCCAGCCAGCCTGAGAACTGATGCCGATGGGTGACTGTGCAGAAAGGAGTGCTGTGATCCACAACTCCAGCAGATGGGCAGAAAACAACTTCCAGTCCTCCAGCGTGGTAAAGAGAAGCAAGGGCAGAAGAAGAAAGCACTTTCCTGACGCAGCTCCCTGGCCTCGTGCTCTTCTGCCAGCATCACCTGCAGCTCTGTACAGGATATAGCCTGCACCTCCTGCATGACACGACACAGCTCACTGTCTGCAGCAGCAGTGCAACCAGCCCTGGGCTTCTGCATGGCCGTGCTGGGAGGGTTGGTATTGCAGCACTGGCTACTTGCCTTGCGTCCATCTCGGAGCTGCAGCCAGGTGTCCAAATGGATAAGTCAGGAAACAATGTGAGGAGGTGGAGAAGAGGGCATCTCGTGTTCTCCGCGCTGTGCTGCTGATGACCTGAAGCTCCTGTAATGTAGTGATGTGCACGGGAGCATGTGCACAGACATGCTGGGAAGCAAGCGTGTGCCTGGAGCTCCGTCCGTCACTGTCTGCAGGGCCTGGCAGGCACGCCAGCTCAGACCTTGCTCAACAAGCACACGCTAAGAGTGGATAACAGAAAGGCAGTCTAATGAAGAAAAACGATTCAATTTCATGCTGGCTTGTTGCAATAACTTCTTTGCCATTTTCTCTCATTGCTTTCAACTCGCTGCTGCCTGTGGCAGCTTTTGCTTCGTGGCTGTGGTCTGTGCTTCACGTCTCACTGCTCGGGGCTGCCTGTGGTCACGGGGCCAGGATGGTGTCCTGCAGGGCTGCTCAATGGAGCTGGCAAGTCTTCTGTGAGCAGGTGGAGAACAAGGAGGGGCCAGAAACGTCTGTGCCAAGGAATGTATGAAAGGTAATATGAATTGGAAGGAAAAAATGGCCAAAGGATGGACAAGTCTATTTTGGATGGGAGCACTGCAGGAGGTGTTTCTTGGGGAGAAGGCGAAGCAGTCCCTGGGTGTGGCAATTATCTCAGAATCCTAGAGGTTGGAAGGGACCTCAAGAGATCATGGAGTCCAACTCCCCTTCTAAAGCAGATTCCCTACAATAGGTCACTCGGGCCAGCATCCAGTCAGGTCTTGAATAACTCCACAGCCTCTCCAGACAACCTGTTTCAGTGCTCTGTAACCCACCTTCTGAGCTGATAGTTAACACTTAATGTCTGTAAGCTCCCTGTTTGAGTCCAGTGAGATTCCAGCTCTGTGCTTGAACTTTTCAGCCAGTAGCACTTGGCAAAGTACCCAAAAGAAGGGAAGCCAGCTGAAGACACACGGTGTGCGGTGGACTTCTCTCTCCTGCTGACCCTACAGCCTGCAGTGGTTTTATGGTCCTCAGCCCTCTGCCCACCCATTGGTGCAAAATGCTGATCCTGCTGGCTGCAGGAATCTCTGCAGCCCCAAACAGACTGGAGCAGAAAGCCAAAGAGGGTGTCGTCTCACATGCAAGGGATGCATCATGGTTGTGGAGGTGGTGCAGCTTGAGCACTGCTACACTGAACCTGTACATGGCTGGCTAACAGTGTTTGCTAGAGTCTGTGATGGGAAGCAAATGGCAGAAAGTGCACTTTTGGCTCCACTTCTGTTTATGCTGTGCTGATTTGTATACACACCCATCTGGGGACTGGTGTCACTCCCATCTCCTAGGAGAATCAGCCCCTCTGCTTTGCTGGAGTTGCAGAAGTTACCACATCTGGTAACTGGCTGCTCCGGAGCAGATCCTCATGTGGGCTTTGTGTTGCTCTGCCAAACTTGCCCAGTTATGTCAACCACAGGAGTCCAAGCGTGAGTGGTTCCACGGGACTCTTCCCCACTGTGGCCCGTTTCACATTTCATGCATACGGAACTCAGCTGGTGGCACGAAGGCTGAAATGACAAAACTTTGAAATATTTTGTAATTCTTTTCTTGCACCATGTCAGTTTGTTTCCTCTCTTGGAAACACGGAAATCACTTTATACCTTGTACTGTCCAAATACGCGTATGTGTAGACACAAAACAAGTCTAACACACTTCCCTTCTGCAGCAAACAACTCAGATTCCAGGTGACCCTTCAATGATCACCCAGTGGTTTAATGCTTAGTGCCGCAGGGCAGAAAATTCATCATCAGTGTTTATTTCTCAGGCCCTGTGTTAGTAGGAGAGTGCGTCAGCACTCCTCAACCTGCAGAGCTCCAGGCCTGGTCTGCACAGCTCATCTCTGGTTCTCAGAGCTCTGAAATCATTGCCGGAGCTAGGAAAAGCCAAGGGACTTCTTCCCTGAAAGAAGCAGTGTGAGAAAAGGGGTAATTATTTCTGATTCCAGTAAAACATGCTGAGTAACTTTGGGGTGCAAGGTTCTCATTCTTCAAAAACAAGGGAAAAAAGAATGAGAGAAGTCAGAGTCCTTCGGAGACAGAATACTCCAAGCTTACAATATAAACTATGATAAAGATTTTGTGATGTAAGCGGCACAAACCAGCTGCTCTCCAACCCGCAGCAATGCACAGCAGCTGCAGCAGATGCAGGACGTGATTTTTGTTCTGATCCCTCCACCTTCATTCCCGTGGCACAGAACCCAAAGGAAGGAGCTCTGGGCATTGTGAGATGGCACCTTCCCTCCTATCTGTTCTCTTCACAGCAATCTCTTCTTTTCCAGGCTCTCCTTACTACTACAGTGCTGCAGCCCGTGGAGCAGCCCCACCAGCAGCTGCTGCTGCCTACGACCGCCACTGACCTCGGACCCAAAGCTTGAGCACTTACCATAAAACACCGCCTGGGACAACTGCATTGAGTCACCTTGCTACAACCGTGCAAGTCAAGGAGGAAGAAAGTAAATAGTAGGAACAAGCTCATTGAAATTTTACTCTTAAGACTCTGAAAACTTAACGTTGTTGTTTTCTTAATTCTGGTGATGTTGTCTGGGTCTCAAATGAAACAAAGAAATGGGAGGACGTGGTTCTCCTGGCACATCATGCGGTCATAGAAATGCAGTAGTTTCATGTTGTTTGCAGCTGTCTGGCTACTGCTTTAATTGCTGTGGGTATCACGGCTGTAACTGGGGATAAGGAAGAGATGTGGGCCTCCCTGTGCGGGACAGCTTCCTCTTACTGCACACTGAGACAGGCTGTGAGACTCAACACAAGCTTTTTTAATTATTATTATCTTTTTTTTTTTTTTTTTTTTTTTTTTTGCTTTCTTTTTTTTGTGTGTGGCAAAGAAAGATCAGTCTGCTCAATTTTACACAAGCAGCACTGTAAATACTTGCTTGTTTGTACTGCTATGAGACTGACTTAGCGTATGCAGAAACATTGTACAAGTCTAGGCTCAAAATGCATCTGAAAATGTGTTTTGAAGCTCGTGCACTGATTCAGAGAATTCAGTAAGCTTTAAGCAACTTTGAACCAGGTTAACACTCATTGTGGCTATCTTTCAGGCTGATGTTACTGCTGTACAGCATCTTATCCAGCAGCTGTGTGTGATCATGCTATATGCTGGTACCAAACTCATGGACATCAGAAAGATGTGGGCAATTTTGACACAGCTATTGGCTAATATTCATTTGTGTTCATTTGTCATCATAATGAGCACTGAAACAAATTCTCTGGTTTCAAGTTCAACAGCATTCAGGAAGGAATAATAGTAGACACCTTACCTACATCTCAACGGGTCGTCTGCTAAAACCCAATTATGGGCACCCTGAAACAAAGGGGGAACATATGGCCATAATGATTTCTGTGAAGTGGACATATTGACCAGAGTGTACTGAACACACGGGCAGACACACCTGCTTTCTGAGGCACGCTGGTCAGGGGAGTCTGTCCATTTTAATGAAGGTATCTCAAGTCATTCTAGTAACGCTGAGGAGAGCAATTTTCAATTCAAGACTGGAGTCACAGAGAACTTCTCCCCATTAATCCTGCATGTCTTGCCCTCCTACTCAGGAAAGGAGGGCTAAGGTGAGATTTCATTCAGTGCTCACTGCTTCCTGGGGCTATTGAAGAGAGCAGCTTACCAATGATCTGGTAAGCAGTACACCAACCACTGCTTTTTCCAGGAAACAGGGAAAACTATCCCCCAGTGCAGCTATCTTTTGCCATGTGTTATGGTGTGCATGTGCCCAGCCGCTCCTGGAAGCAAGGGGAGAGCTGACCTTGCTGAGACCAGACTTATCTGCAACCTCTGCCTGCACACAGCACTGGCAAAGAGACCTGTCTGTGTTTGCCAAAGCTGAGAAGGGATTGTTGGTGGTGTCCCATGAATGAAAAAATCAAGTATTAAGTATTTGCTTCCAGCTTTGGAAGTACTTCTTTGAAAGTGCAGCGTCTGAGCTAACATTCCTCCCTGTTCTCCTCGCTGCCAGCACCTCCTGTGCCTGCCACTGGTGAGCACTGACAGCCCTCTGTGTGTTCCCCAGTCTCAGTGGCACGTTTTGTACGTTCTCATGCTACAAAAACACAGCTGTTAGGTTCAAGGTTCCATGCTAGATGTTCTCTGGTCCTCAAAAGCCATGATGATACCTAGGTCCCACTGGCTTAAATGGTTTCCCTAATCTAGAATTTAATTCTGCGAGCACGCGACAAACTTACCTGCGAGAAAAACTGTCCTTTTCATTTTTCAGCATTTGATACCCGAAACACAACCATGCACGCACGTTTTTAATTGAAAAGCACAAGAACATCATTTACCTGGGGAGTTTTCTGAAGCTTTGCTTTGGTGTTCTCTTTTCTCAGTCGTCATGACATACTGCATGGCTGTTTGCACCCCAGTGGCTGCCTGGGGTTTCAATTCACACATGCTCAGCTGAGGTGCACACACCATGTGCAGGGGCATATCCCGAGTATACCTTCCTTTTCTGTGAGCTTGGATAGTTAGAAGGCCATCTGATGCAAGGTGAAGAGGCGAGAAATGAACATCTGGCAATACAACATGAGGGTGTGGGTCATGCCCCCAAAGCAAGAGTGGGGGTGAACCACACGAGCTGCAGAGATGCTACTTGACCATTGATGAAGCTGGTCTCAAAGCTTGTGCTTGTGCCTTTCCAGTGCAGGAAGAGCAGCTCCTGTTGATTGTGTGTGTGTGCTTGCACCAGTTCTGAGTACTACCCAGCAAACATTTTTTAAAGGCTTTGCTTTTCATTCCCTGGCGGTAAATGACTTATTTGGCTTTAGTTTGGTTAACACTGAGAAGGCTGAACATAAGACAAGAAACTTCAACAGATGTTATTATGCTCAGGACAGAGACTCTTGTAGTTAGTCTACAGACTTATGAAAAACATGGTTTGTCTGTAGGTCGCTCCGAAAGTAATGCCTCCTATTAATTCTCATGGAAATTACGACAGCTATAAAGAGCACAGCAACGCCGTTTGTTAGAGCAAATTCTCAGCTACAAAACACTATCTTTCGACTCAGTCACCACTATTAACCATTTGGAGTGGATGAGCTTATTTGGAGACTCTTCCTTTTGTGGTGCGACATCTGTGCATAGCTATTTAGAACATGGCTTGTCTTTCAAGTCAGTGCCACTACTGCTGAAACGCAACACCCACTGCTTCACAGTGCTCACATCCTCTCTTTGGTTTCTGTGTATGTTCAGCAAGCATCTATGAATGTCAACTGCTGCAATTTTTTTTTTCGCATGGAGGAATCCTGTGGCCCAGCTTTGCTTCATATGCCCTTCTATGTCAGATGTCATTTTGTCAGAGTGCCCCTCTGCTGCCATCTGTCTCATGGCAACAAAATGGAAAAAAACTTCGGTAGGAAGGTTCAACCTCTACTGTTATATCTCCAACATCCACCTCTGACGTCATGGGCCAACGTAATAAAATAGGAGGCTTTACTTTTGGAGCAACCCTCATACATTTCATCCCAAGGATGTGTGCCTGTGGATAAAATGAAATGACCTAAGGTCCTTACACTCAGCCTTGATTTGCCTTAGTGTTTACATCAAGAATCCTTAAGGGTTGTTCCTTGGCCAGAGTTGTCTTGCGGTGCGTGGTGGTGGTCTCCATCCACTGAGCCACAGTTTGGGTGAAAGGCAGAGAAAGCGCAGGTACACAAGCCTTGCACAAGTCCTCTCTCTGCCTGTGCAGTCCAGCTCACGGCCATGGAGATGAAGCACAGATGCTCACCCTTGCACATGTACAGCAGGGACCTGCGTCTGGTCCGCCTCCCTCAAGCACTGCCGAGGATCCCCGATGATGTGGCTCATTTATATATGCTAGGGTTGTTTCTCTGCAAGAAACACAAGCAGGGTTTAGCCTGCTATGCATGCGTGCCATCCATACTTCTAGAAAACACACTTGTCAGTGCTTTGTATTTTTGACGGTAACACAGTCAGCCATGTATTTTATGCCCTCTCCAACAGCCAGCTACTCTGCAACAGACCTGGCTGAGAGGATGTGAGCAAGGCCTTCAACGTGCATGCTGTGTTCACATGTGCTGTCTGCAGGGGAGGATGTAGAACGAAGTGGAGACTGTAAGTGAGTGACCACTTGGTGTTGCAAAAGGATGGGAATGTGATGAATGCCATCATTAATCTGCTGAGGCTGGTTCAGTTTTTTCTAGATTCGCTTCATGGGTCATTTTCATGAACCCAGAAACACTGGAGTTGGGGCATGGTAGGTGCTGCTGTTGTATGGTTTGGGCAGGATGTCCTGTAGCATGGCACATCATGACCAACCCCTTGCAGAACTCAGCCCCACAAAAGTGCCTTCAGGCAGTTCCACCACTGAGCTCTTTCATGCAGCTAGATTGATGGTGTTTCAGTAGTATGTGCTCCAGCAATAGTTTGCCTAAAAATAAAGGCTGAGAGGTGGAGAGAGAAAATACTGACATAAGATTGAATCTACAGAGGCTATGAGCAGGTGTTACATAAATTGTCTTGTTGAGGAAACCCTTGGTTCTGTGCTGTAAATGTAGCCATAAAGAAGTCATGCTGTGGGCATTGAGTTAGCATTTATGCCCAAAGATTTGACTACAGAGGTATTGTAAGATGGCACCCATCACCTGCAGATTTAAACACAGCCTAAGACAGGATCCCTAGACTAAAGTCTGTGTCAGCTATCAGGTCAGGAAAATGCTCCAGGATCTGGGGCCATGAGGTCAGAAAGCAGGTGTTTCATTCGGAAACGTGGAGAGGTCAAAGTAGAACTTTCAGGAATGGTGGAACTGCAGGCTCTGGGAACAGCCTTGGTGCTGTAGATTGGTGTGAAGGAAACAGCAAAGAAGGACAGAGTACCAGGAGAAAAAAAAAAAAAAAGGAAGAAAAAAGAAGAAAAGAGAAGAGGCAAGCTGAAAGGAAAGTGAAGTTCATCAGAGAACTGTAATCTTTCTACACAACACGTATGTTGCAATGGCTGTGCACTGGGGAGGGCGCAGAGGAGTTCACTTGCTGCACTGCCGAGTACTGGCAGCTGCTTTCTGTTGATATGCATTCTCCCATGCACTGCCTTGACTGATGGGATTGTATTGCATTTTAAAATTTTCTTTAATTTTTTCTCTTCTACAAGTCCTTTATCATGAAGGAGAATTGAAGCCATGCTACGATGCTTGTTTCGAAGCACCACTACCCAGTAGTTCCAAGTGTTATGGCACACAGCCCAGATAACTTGTGGGGCTGGCAGTTGTGGCAGTGTAGAGGCTTCAGCACAGTGTCCTCCATGGTTCTGCATTCTTTCCTGCGTGTATATGCACGTATGTTTTCCTAAAACTGGGACATTGTGACCTTGGTCCACGATGGGAGCACAGCATTAAACTTGACCCATCCTGTGACTCCGTCCCTGCAATGTTGGGAAAACCTGCTTCTTCTTATGGATTCACTGAGAAAATGACAAGAGAGTTCCAGATGGCCAGCAGCTCCCAGGCTGCGCCCTGCAGTCTTGTGCAGGGCAAAAGCAGTGGCAGGTTGGGCTGCTTGCAGTGACACAGGTGCTGGCTCTCATTCTGATCCTCAGCAGACACTCTGCACTGGAGGTGGAGAGCTGAATGGCAGTGAATGACTCAAGACTCCAGCAAGAGAACTGCTGTGCCCCTCAGGCAGAAACCCATAGATTAAAAACAAGCAGTATTTCTTTTCTGCTGGAGTTAACCACAGAATCACTAAGGTTGGAAAAGACCTGTAAGATCATCTAGTCCAACCATAAACAAGACTTGCAAATACTGAGCAAAAACCATCTTTGAGAGAGGTGCTCGGTGCAAGCCAAGTGTTGCATCAGCACGGTAGTGAGTGTGAGTGCTCGTGTGCTGAGACTGATGTGCACACGTGTGTGCCCTCATAGGCACACGTGCACCTCTGGGTTCATCCCCACTCCCCAGCACCTGCTGACAGCCTTCTCATGCAACTGGTGACCGCACTACTGGACTCCTGCATCCAGGTTTACTACTCTCACCTTGTAAATCGAGATGGAACAATGGTCAGTGGGTGTTTAGATCCTTTCTATTGCTTCATTCAGCCTTGTAGTGCAAAGAAACTTTGTCCTGGTTTTTCACTTTCTAGTGGCCTTTGTACATTCTGAAATTACAGAAAATCATTTCATTGCAAATGGAATTTACTTCCTAGAAAAAAAAGAAAAAAAAAGAAGAACGGGCTTTTTTTTTTCTTTTTTTTTCTTTTTTTCTTTTTTTTCCTTAGAGATAAACTACTTTCTATTAGGAACTTCTAGCAACAAAGAAATACGTATCTATCGTATCCACCAAAGTCTGCAATGCCTGCATTGAAGCTTACTTCTTGTAAGAGGAAAAGAAAGAGAGGGAAAAAAAAAAAAAAAAAAAAGCCTCCTTTCCTTAAAAAATGCATACAAATGGAAAAAAAAAA